AATTGACTGTGTTTGCAAGAAGAAACACAGAAAAAACAAATTGCGAACAAAAGTGATAATAACATTTTATTACTAGGGAGCTAATAAAGTGTTTATCGTAATGGTTATGACCAGTATTCTGGATGAAGCTTTTACAATACGGTATAAATTAGTCAGTTACTTATAATTACCTAGCTGTCCAAATTTATTTCTAGTTAACTTATCTCGTTTAATGCAGAACTAACACATTTTTCCGTATACCACTCTGGAATGACATACTGCTCACTAATTTCGGTAATATATAATCTTATAAGGTGTACACCACTTAGTTTGCATGTTTATTAAGGTACACAAAAGTAAAGTGATCTTGTCTAGTATGAAAGTAATAGAATACTTTGGAGAGATTAGCTATACAATGGTTAGTATATTAGCACCCATAAAATGCACCTCCAAGATAACCATGTTAGTGATCAATAAAAAAGCAAACTCAGTATAAATATAATCGAAAGAAAATGCCGAGTATTATCACAGCCGAAAAGCTTGGCCTAAATCTCTTAAAAAGCAACTACATGGTCACTAAAAACGTAATTCTAAAACCAGGGCAGCTATAAAATTTGATTTAGTGCAGTTTTTATAGAACAGTTACGACGCAAGTAAGAATCAGTATTAAAGACCATATGTAGAGTAACCTAACGGATGTTATAGGTAAATCTCTTCGTATGATAATAAGTATACTAAATTCAAGCAAAACTTTCTTTTTGCGTACACCTGTTTGCATATGTTTGATGGAACAATCTCTTTCGCCTCAATCACATTTAAAAACAAAACGTTGCGACCTAATGAACCATGTCAACTTTTGCTATAATTAGCTAAAAAACCGGTTAGGAAGTTACCAATGGTTTAACTGACTGACTGAACATAATTAAAGTACAATTGAAAAGTTATGAGCACTGGGCGACCATTTCTTTCTAGAATGATATTTCTAATCAATGAACAACCACGACCCAGAATCCGAGCATCGAATCCAAGACGTTCAATCTGGTGTGCTTAGGCTCAACCCTTGAATCACTGGGTCGGTATCTAACGAATATTGAAGTCTAACATCAATCAATTCATGAACTACAATTGATAAGATAACATTAGAAAAACTCTATAAGTTAACAAACATATATTAGTAGAGAATACTTGAAGTTTTTTATTTTGGTTAAAATTATTCCTAGTTTCTAGGCTGTTTATATAGTTTTGTATACACTACTAATTGGATCTATTCTCATCTATACTCTTCTATAATACGTCTAACATTTATAGAAAACTTTATAACAGTTATTATTAAATCTTACTGTTAATATATTAATACTCATAATGTATTTACTAGATTCTGTTTACATTTCATAAGCGATTACAGTCATTATTTTTTATCACGTATATTAACTATATATGTGACAAAAGACAATTATTATGTTGTCGTAAGGTGTTAGTTAATAAAAGAAAAGAAAATATCATTTGAATAAATTTGAAGAAACTACTTAAATTAAGTATACTTAAACATTTATTATAAAACATTAAGATAGAATGTACAAATAAAAATAAACGTTAATTTATAAAATTCATTCTAGTCACGTTACTTTGTGTGTTTTGAACTACAAATTTTATTCACTGCTCATAAAGTTAAATCAGATTATGAACATTTTAACTTAGTGATTAATAAGTGCTAGGACTGAAGCTATCACGAAATCACTGAATCTGCGGACGAAAAACAAGACTCGGTGACCAAAGACCAGTTAGCTAGCTATTGATGCGTCCCACACCCACTAACTAGAGAGAGGAGTCCAAGCTTAAAATGGGGAAGTATATTCTGAAAACAGTCAGAAACGAGCGATAACAACAAATACAATTCAAAACGTATATATACAGTACAAAACTGTCCTTGGGGAGAGTTACCAAATAGCATACTAAAAGATGCAACGGACCAATAGCATTTAAGATATTTCCCAGTGGAAAATACGACATGGAGGTGACAAGAGTGCCTTTGGCGCGAAAACAAAGAAATTCAAATTTTCTAAATAAAATTACAAAATTAGGTCCTTTGCGAAGTGAGTTCTGGGGATCTAACGTCCCCAACAATAAATGTAATGAATATATTGAGACTTGGAAAGTGTATATCTAATCTCCTATGATATAGTAACTGACTGTTACTGTTGAATACTATTAAAATGTTATTCTCTAGCGGATATTAGTCCCTGGTGAAAATCTCTTCATAGTTTTTTGTTAATGTGAATGATCAATATAATTTTTTCTATATCATCGTTGATACTGGCCACAGATGTGAAACTTTATTTAGGGTTTCATAACAACTACATAAGTCGGTGAAGATAATTGATTTTATAAGTCAATAAGTATAAAAATATAAAATCCTATATTTTTCGTGTTTTATATGTTAAGTAGACCATCATTCAGTTTTATCACTTCATTGAATGAACAAGCAACATTATTTATATTTGCAGCATGTTTCAACTAAGCTGGAACTATTGATAAATTTCTACTTCTATTGCTCTGATAATTACTGATTTTTAAGTTAAAGGAATTTATTGTGTGTGTTGTATCAACGGTTATTTATTATATAGAGTTAAGAACAGTGATGCGGGTAATGTAGTTAACCTATTGTGATGATCAGACTAAATACATTGAGTTTTATTTTAGAGACAGTTGATAGTACTGAAATGGTGAAAAGTAATTAGTTTGTACATTAATGCAAGTATCTAAAATTTGGTTTCACGCTATGTAAAGCTTGATAGACATTGTATAAAACGACTGAATTTTTATAATTAGAGGGGGGGTTTTGTGAATATTATGGTGGTCTAGAGGTTAATCATTCGCGCGTGAAACTGACAGGTCCCCAGTTCGAATCTCATGAGGTGAGATCGTGGATGCGCTCTACAGAGAATTCCCATACTAGGACTAAACGGCTCACCAGTGCTTCCAGGTTTTCTATGGTGGTCTAACTTTATTTGACTCATGATATGAACTATTGAAATCTATGTAAATACTGAAAACGTTGATTTAAACATCTGTGCAATGCATCCATTTTATACAAATTCTAATTTTCATTTGAATGAACCACTGTATAACCATTCTGATATTTAAATGTAACTGATATTTCATATAATAGTTACTTTATGACAGTATGAAAAGTTCATTATGGATTAACTTGAAAAATTATAAACATGTGACTTGTATTTTTCTCCTTTCAATGATTCAGTCAAATTATGAAGAGAAGAAAAAAAATTCCAAACAAAAAAATATTTTCATATGATCATTTACATTGAATAAAATTTTAGGGAAAATTTATCTGGTTTTTTTCTTCTTCTTAGAAATAAGTGGATAACAATTCTTGTGGTCAATAAATTTTATTCAAAGTAGTCATAATAATTCTAGATACATTGTTTGTATCCATGTTAGTGGTGGTGAGATAGTAAAGTGTTATATATATTCAATTCATAAGGAATGAATGAATTTTAATCAAATGATCATATTCTACCTAAACTAATTTTCGTACACTTTATAAATAAAATGCAATTTGTGGGTTCCAATGACAGTTTTTACATTATCTAGTTTACTGACTGTTTAATTGAATTTCTGTTATTTAAATATTTTAATACATCGCTTTTTTTTTCGAGATTAATTACCAATCTTCCCACAAATGTTTGTAACACTGTTTTGGTCATTGGACTTAAAAATAAAATATATTATTTGTTTTTACCTTACTTTCGTATATTAAACATTTAAAAGTATTAAAGAGGAAGAATATATTTGTAAAATCTCAGCGAAAGAATTTGAAGTTTCGCCTAGAAATCTGATCTAAGCTTTTTCAAGGAAAATAAACGTTGGATTTACTTTAAATTCTTTCGTTGAGATTTTACAAATACATTCTTCCTCTTTAATGTCGCACATTAACTCGGCGCTCAAATATTGTGAATCTATTCGTTCAAATTTAAACGAAAGTTCTTATTTATTTAAAAGTATCAAATCTACAATCCACAGCTGTTCATTGCCTGATTGAATTACACCATTTATTATATAGATCAATGGTATATTGTTAAGGATGCCTGAGACCTTTTCAAGCCGAATATCGTAGAGTTCATGATCGTCATTTTTTTTAATAGATGACTTTATCGAAGAAGAGTGGACAGCATTTCATAAACATTTGGTTGTTTGAAGTGAGAAATCATACTCAAATGATCATTCGGTATTAAAATGACATCTTTAATGTTAAATTTCACAAACAATATTTGAAAAATAGGAAAATGAGATGATAAAAAAAGTTTTTGCTTATGTACGATATATAGAAGATCAAAATGACATTTGAAAACTATTTATTAGTCAGTAATTTACTAATTCAAACATTAGACTTAATTTTCATCGGCCGTTTCGTGTTTACTTCGGAATCATAACTATTAAAGAGTTGTTCATTTAGCTATAAATATACATTTTTGATAATATCGCTTTACACGAGTCATTTTAGGGGTACTAACAGTTATTTTAAATTACATGAGTGAATAGTAATCTGTTTAATGTTGATTTATTGAAATATCAACCAATTTTTGTAGTATACGTTTCAAGATTTGTGCTCAATACTACGTTATTCCATTTATTGTTTGGAACGTGCGATTTATTTACTACAACATCGATGTATGATTACTGTCCGAAACTATCAGCTTACTATAATAACACTTACCTACAAAGAGTTAGAATATGTACTCAACATTATTCATTGCATAATACCATGAATGTCAAATTCGCAGTATAACATACGGTGTGTAACTTATTTGCATAGAAGTTTTTTCTCTTTATGAACTTATAATTTATCAAGGAAATAAATTCTTAGTGGATATTAATTTGACTTTTTTCAAAGCCGTATGATATTTTGTCATTAGAAATGTTAGAGCCAACTGTTTTTAGAGTTTCTTTAAGAATATTTATTACCAATCTACCAAATAAACTTAATGAATATAGTTACTTACAGTACAATCATGAACATGTTTACTTATCACTTTATTATTTGAGTGGTTTTACAGATTTAGATAGATAGACAGGATCGAAGATAAACCTACTTTTTTACATAATAGAGTACAGTGTACAAACATTTGTCTTAAACAAATGATTTATAAGGTATTGGATTCTAGTGACAATGTTAGGAAATAGAAATAATATTGTTGATAAAATATGGACTATTTTAGTATTGAAATTATGAATAGTTTTTCATACATTGGCTAATAAATGATGTTAGTTACCATTTGGGTTCTGAAATGTTTTAAATAAAATTTCCTTTTTCCTGATAAACTCAAAGGTAGACTGTCAGATTTTATAGTAAATTCCACAAATTCTGTAAATTTCTCTATTATCGTGTTTACTGTCATGATAAAATTCATTTTGTAGATTATTTTCATCTGAATACATTTCAAAAGAGAAATTCTTTTGCTACGGTGAAGATGTCGATTCCATGGAATATTTGTGGTCTGTGTATAATGATGAACCATTAGCAAGCGACATTGTAGACTGACAATTAATAGATTTTAAAGCATCTGTTGGTTCATCGGTATATTGTGACACATAAGTATCTCTAGTTTGATTTAGCCTTGTGCGACACCAATTAGAATGTGTTTTACATGGTGTGCACAGAATATCAAGAAATGCTTTACGAATATCCCGTAAAGAATATGCATAGATAAACGGATTGACACCTGAATTCAAATAACCAAGCCATGTGACAAGTGGAAAAATTATATTCTCTTGAGTTTTTAAAACTGATGGGTAAACAGCTTTTATTGTGTTATAAACAAAAAATGGTAACCAGCATAACACAAATACACCCATCACAATTCCAAGAGTTTTAGCTGCTTTCCGTTCTTTAGTGAATCGTTGTACTCGTTTTTTGATTTCACTTAGATAGCTTCTTGATGATAGCAAACTTTCTTCTGCATTCTGCGTCCCAGGTGTTGCTGTTATATTGTCATCCTTTTGTATTAATGAATTGTTTACATTAAATCGATTGAATACAGTTCTGTAGCAACCAGAGAATAATGTGCAGTGAGTGTTTTTTTCATCAAATGATTGAGATTTTCTAGAGTGATTAAATTTAACATGTTTTGTATTTTTTTTGTTTTCATCTACATTACACTCTAATATTTCATGATTATTTTTATTATCATCATTTGCTGTTGGCGACAATATAGGCGATTGATTGTTGAGGATTTCATGAGAAGATACGTATGATACTTTGACAGAAGTATTAGGATTATGGGACAATACACCCTGTTGCAAGACTGACGGCAGTGTTTTAGTTATACCGCCTCTGTGCACTCTTAATATCATCGCCTCACCACCTAGTGATTTTCGATAAATCAATCTTTTACCTGTGTTAAAGGTCTTAATGAGACCATTTGCTTTCTGATATATTTTCCAATAAACAAAAATCATAACTATCAAGGGTATATGAAATGAAATACACGAAGAAATGAATAAATAAACTCTGTCAGAAGAAAATAAACATTCTAAATCTGGTACACTATGCATATCAGAAACATTATACATACTACTTGAATGTCGCCACCAGGCAATGGCTGGAAAGGAAATTAGTATAGAGCATACCCAAGTAAGCATAATCATAATAATACATCGTGAATGTGTTACACGTAAAGGATAATTAAATGGGTCTGAAATAGCAATATAACGTTCCACTGAAATTGCACATAAATTTAAAATTGAAGCTGTTGAACTAAGAACATCAAATGCGTGCCACATATCACACCAGATTTGACCAAATGGCCATAAAACATACTGATCTTGCTGATTTTTGGGAAGACAGTCTTTATGGATAGATCTTAATAGATCAATCACAGCGAATGGCATAACAATAGCTCCCAATAGTAAATCTGCTGCTGCTAAGGATGCTATGAAACAATTCGTAACATTTCTTCGCAATTTATGTTTTGTACAGATTGCAACAAGAACAAGTAAATTACCACCAATAGTGATGGCTATAATTACAATAAATCCCAGAAATGTTATAGTTTCCACTATGGAACTACTACTTGAAAGTAATTGTTCACTTATATTATTATTAGTGTTATTTTGAGATATATCCACATTTAGGTAGTTCTCAGTGTTCATTTCCCATTAAACGAAGTGTAAGTTATTTGATCATGCTCTAAATGTTAACAAATAAATGAATAAACTTATTCTATTAAATATTATAGATTATTATTTATTCTTATGTCTTATATAATTAACTGTTCACCTTCCAATAGTATAATCTTTTCTACTTTCTTAGCCAATCAAATTCAATTTAAGTGGCCAATCAAACTATTAATTTCAAAACTTAGTGTTATTACCAATAATAAAATTTTAAAAACAGTAATTCTTGTAAATTCGAGATAAAATAATTGAATACTTTTCGTATGTTTTCAATAATTAGTCTGATATATTCTTATATTTTCATAAAAAAATGTGCTAATTAGGCAAACTAAAGTAATTTGTTTGTTATAGTTAAAAATATTTATGAAAACCATAAATGGATTTATAAGCAAAGATGGATAGTGGCTAGCAGTGAAATCCAGGATGCGCGTTTCGTCTTATTTTGGACTCATCAGCTGAACGAAACACACATCGTGGATTCCACTGCTAGCTACTATCCATTCTTGTTTAGAATGCTTGTGAATTGAGGCAGTTTTCAGGCAATATGCACAGTATGCACATATGCCAATAAGAGACTGATCAATTGCAGTCCTAAATAACAAAAAGGAAGATACATGTAAAGAACAACAAATGAATATAGATGGATTTGTTTACTCACAACAAACACATTATTTCCATTGAAAATTCCTATATTTAATAATAAATTCTTTTATGTGAAATATACACAATCATCGATAATATATTCATGTTATTATGGATTTTATAGGCTTAGGTGTTACAAATTTACCGAAATCTATTTGTATAAAGTATCGAAATTAATACTATTGTTTGATAAAAGACAATTAAAGTCAAATTTAAAGGATGGGATTCAATTAGTTAAACTATCCAAATAATATATGTCTTGATTAGGAGTATAACTCCGCCTGTAGCTCTTATAGGGTTGCTGCCGGTCCCAAGCCCGGGTAAAGGAGGAGGGTTGGGCATGGGGTTAGCGTCCCCATCCCGTAGAAAACTAACTCGCTAAAAAAACGCTTACCAGAAAAAATAATCCAAACCATTTTAACTCTGCCCTGGGAGTTAGAAGGTCTTCATTTAGAAGAATTATGACGCTTCATGGTGAAAGCCGAGTTCCTTCGGAAGCCACGAGGCCGATGCCCCTTCTAACAACCAGAGCAAAAATTTTTATAGGTACATGGAACGTTCGAACAATGTGGGAAACCGGGAAGACCAGTCAAATATCAATGGAAATGAGGAGATACAACTTAGCGGTACTGGGAATCAGCGAAACCCACTGGACCCAAGCTGGACAGAAAAGGCTAGCTACGGGAGAGATGCTGCTATACTCCGGTCACGAAGAGGACAATGCTCCACACACTCAGGGAGTCGCTCTTATGCTGTCCAAAGTAGCACGAAATGCACTTGTAGGATGGGAATCTCACGGATCCAGAATCATCAAAGCATCATTCAAAACAAAGAAGGAGGGGATCTTAATGAATATTATCCAATGTTATGCACCCACCAATGATAGCAACGACGACATTAAAGATCAATTCTACGAGCGGCTGCAGTCAGTGATAGAGAAATGCCCAAGAAAAGACCTAACTATTCTGATGGGAGATCTCAATGCCAAAGTCCGAATAGACAACACTGGATATGAAGATATTATGGGACGACATGGACTGGGAGAAAGAAACGAAAATGGAGAAAGATTTGCAAATCTATGCGCATTCAACAAATTGGTCATAGAAGGCACAATATTTCCACACAAGCGTATACACAAGGCTACATGGATCTCACCGGACCACACTACAGAGAACCAAATAGATCATATTTGCATCAACAAAAAATTCCGAAGGACAATGGAAGATGTGAGAACCAGGAGAGGTGCTGACGTAGCTTCAGACCACCACCTAGTTGTAGCCAATTTGAAACTAAAGCTAAAAAAGAACTGGACAAGTGGACAAACAGCAATACAAAGGTTCAATACAGCCTTTCTTCGAGATACTGTCAAACTCAATGAATTCAAGATAGCTCTCAACAACAGGTTCCAAACCTTACGAGATCTACTGAAAGAAGAAGAAACTACTATGGAGGACAACTGGAAAGGCATCAAGGAAGCATTAACTTCAACGTGTCAAGAGGTTCTCGGTCTAAAGAAATACCATCATAAGGAATGGATCTCTACAGAAACAGTGGACAAGATCAAAGAGAGGAAGAACAAGAAGGCAGCAATAAACAACAGCCGAACACGAGCAGAGAAAGTACAAGCACAAGCTGAATACATAGAAGCAAACAAACAAGTGAAGAGGAGCATTAGAGCCGACAAGAAGAAATACGTTGAAGAACTAGCAACGACGGCAGAAAAAGCTGCTAGAGAAGGAAACATGAAACAGCTTTACGATACAACGAGGAAACTATCAGGGAAATACAGTAAACCAGAGAGGCCGGTCAAAGACAAAGAAGGCAAGCCAATCACCGAAATTCAACAACAACGTAACAGATGGGTAGAATACTTCAAGGAACTCCTGAATAGGCCGGCTCCAATGAATCCACCGGACATCGAAGCAGCACACATAGATCTTCCTATAGATGTCAATCCACCGACTACGGAAGAAATTAGAATGGCCGTCAGACAAATCAAGAACGGGAAAGCAGCAGGACCCGACAACATACCAGCTGAAGCACTGAAATCAGACATCGAAACAACCACAAGCATGCTTTATCTTCTATTCAAAAAGATTTGGGAAGAGGAACAAGTGCCGATGGACTGGAAAGAAGGACACCTCGTCAAGATTCCAAAGAAAGGAGATCTGAGCAAATGTGAGAACTACAGAGGCATAACACTACTGTCAATACCAGGGAAAGTCTTCAACAGAGTGTTGCTGAACCGGATGAAGGATGCAGTAGATGCCCAACTTCGAGATCAACAAGCTGGATTCCGTAAGGATCGGTCGTGCACAGACCAAATTGCAACACTACGGATCATCGTCGAACAATCAGTTGAGTGGAACTCATCATTATACATCAACTTCATTGATTATGAAAAGGCATTCGACAGTGTAGACAGGAGGACGTTATGGAAACTTCTTCGACACTACGGAATTCCTGAGAAGATTGTCAATATAATCCGAAACTCATACGACGGACTACAGTGCAAAGTAGTGCATGGAGGACAGCTGACAGATGCATTCCAAGTAAGGACCGGAGTCAGACAAGGCTGTTTACTCTCTCCCTTCCTTTTTCTTATGGTGGTCGACTGGATTATGAAGACCTCAACATCTGAAGGAAAACACGGAATACAATGGACAGCTCAGAATCAATTAGACGATTTGGACTTCGCAGATGACCTAGCCCTCCTATCACGTACACACGAACAGATGCAGATGAAGACAGCCAGTGTAGCAGCAGTCTCTGCATCAGTAGGCCTCAGCATACACAAAGGGAAAACTAAGGTCCTCAAATTCAAAGCGGAGAACAGCAATCCAATCACTCTTGATGGCGAAACTCTGGAAGATGTAGAATCCTTCACATATCTGGGAAGCATCATCGATGAACAAGGAGGCTCAGATGCAGACGTAAAGGCGAGGATCGGCAAAGCAAGGGTCGCATTCCTACAATTGAAGAACATATGGAACTCAAAACAACTTTCAACCAATATCAAAGTGAGAATCTTCAATACGAACGTCAAGGCAGTTCTACTGTATGGAGCTGAAACTTGGAGAACTACAACAACTACAATCAAGAAAGTACAAGTATTTATAAATAGCTGTCTTCGCAAGATACTCAACATCCATTGGCCGGATACCATCAGCAACAGCCTTCTGTGGGAAAGAACAAACCAACTTCCAGCTGAAGAAGAAATTAGGAAAAGACGATGGAAATGGATAGGACATACATTACGCAAATCGTCAAACTGCATCACGAGGCAAGCCCTAACTTGGAATCCTGAGGGGAAGCGAAAAAGAGGAAGGCCAAAGAACACATTGCGTCGGATAATAGAAGCAGATATGAAAACGACGAATTACAACTGGACGGACCTAGAAAGGATTGCCCAGGACAGGGTTGGATGGAGAACGCTGGTGAGCGGCCTATGCTCCTTCACGAGGAGTAACAGGCGTAAGTAAGTAAGTAAGTGATTAGGAGTATATTTCAAAATCTCTGTATACCGAAATCTCAGTCACAGAAATCTTTATAAAGTACGCTGAATGACTGAATACTAATCAATATTATATTATGTGATCTTTAGTGCAGACTAAATTTAAGTAGTCGTTTTATATTGTCGTTAATAGTCAATCTGACATGAAATTGCACTACACCATGTTAGATACTGTATTGTAGTTGGAACGAAGTAAAACGTTATGAACCTATATTCAATGCTAGTTGACAGCAATCAACCAGGCGTAGCTGAAGTTTTAAAATCCTGATGCTTCTTAATAATTTAGAAAATAGTATCGTTCAGTGTCTCATTAAAGACCACTAATATTGAGGTCTTCAAGATATGATTAATCTATAATAAAACTGAAGTATTCTCACCAGATGATCACTGATTAGCAGTGATTATCCTGCTGTTTCATCATTAATGTTGTTCCTGATCTAATTGATTGTGTTGATTGATGAATTGAATGATAACTATAGGATTTTATTTTTTAAAAGAGCGGATTGAGAAATAAATTGGTACATAAAATGAGATTTAAAATAATTTGCTCATGTAATTACTGTACAAGTCCATAGCTTCTAAGGACGATTATGTTAAGATTGTAACCATCATTGAGAAATGTACATTTACTACACTTACTTGATATTTATTGAGTTGGATTATCTGATATAATGGAAATACATGAAAAAGTTGACCAACCGTGGGTACAGTTGAAAAAATAATTGATCCTTTTTTAACGATTCTGCATTATTTATATGGCGATGAATAAAGAACATTGCTTTAGCTAGAGATGTTTTGTAATATCTGGTTGTTTCAACTTGCATTCAATGATATCAAGTAAAGTTATTTGGTTATTTGTTTTCCTTGAAAATATCCATACGGTTA